AAAAATCTAAAATGTAAATTGAAGTATAAAATTATCTTGCTGCCATTCATGTAGCTCTCTCACAAATTGATATCTGAGGACATATGGCCCTTTCTTTACTCGTTTTTATTGTGCCTTAAGGAGTCACATGCCTCAAAGACATAACATGATTTTTGCCCACAAGGCGTTTACCGCCTAGCAGAAGAAGAGCAACATGGAAGTGCATTAGGTGTCATGGGTGCTCTGATTTAAGTCTGTTCACAGCACAGCTGGGCTGCAGGAGAGGCAACCATCCTTTTTACTTGTGTGGTGGGAGTGAGCAGACAATTATTCACAGAAGAAGTGAGGTTGGAGATACCATGCATTGGTTTAAAAACTTTTATTGAGTGTTAGGCACTGTGCTAGCCTCTGGGGATAAACGTTGGACTTGAATCATCTCTACTTCACAGAGGTGAATGCCCATTGAGGGTGATGGTCTTCGAATTAATAACCACAAAATAAACATTACCATCATTTGTGATAAATGCAATAGGGGGAAAAACAGGCCACAGTGTATGTAACAGAAGGGCCAGGTTTTCTTTTGGGGAAGATCTCTCTGAGGCAGTCATGTTGAACCTGAGACCCAACCAATGAGCTCAAGTTAGACAAGTGAACAGTAGTTGGGAAAGGGCCTCCAATGTGTGGAAGTGACTACCTTGAGGAGGGAAGCAGACGGAAGTGGAGGAGGGAAGTGCCAGGTGAAGAGATACAAGGGACAGACCATGCAGGCCCAGGATAAGGAATCTCATCTTGAAAGAAGCAGAATTATTACATGGGCCTTTGGAGGGGGGGCTGTGTGGAGGGTTTGGTTGGTTAAGACATGGAGACCTGAATATCATGGAAAATTGTAAGCAATTTGACAAGGCTGGAGCATAGGGTCTGAGGGAGGATGCCATATTGAATTTTGTGTTCGTCCTATAAGCAGCAGGGAGCCATTAAAGAGTGGGTATGAGCAGGGGAATGACAGATCAAATGTAAACTTGAGACAGATAAATCTCAAGGATGGTTGAATTAATTGAAGATGGCAAAGGATGGAAGTCCCTTCTAGTAGGTAGAGGATGAAGGCTTGTCTAAGGCGGTGGCTGTAGAGGTGGAGAATAGGAGACAAAGATGCTCAGTAGGCAGAGTCTATAGGATTTGATTGATGAGAGGAGAAGAGGCAGAGTATTAAATGATGGTCAGGTTCCTGGTTTGTGTGATAAGTGGAAAGGGATAGCAAGAGAAGAGGACAATTGGGGCAATAGATGATGAGTGAGATTTGTACTAGATAAGTGCTAAGTGCTTGTGGGAGATCCAGCCTGATGTTACCTAAGTAACTGATGAGTTAATGTTTTCTGAAGTTGAAATTCCCTCTGAATAGTTTTGATATGTTAACATGGTGTTTATTGAGAGAGTTGGAAGCATTCAAACTACTCATAAGGGAATACTTGCATTTGACAACTGACAGATTGCTTTATTCTGACTTCCTCATGAAGACTTATTTTTTTGTGTTTGAGAGACATTTGACTTTGTCACAGTTCTGAAAATATGTTATTTCTGATATGTTTAGATGGTGGGCTTTCAAAAACAGTTAAATATTACAACTAGGCTTGCTGTGTTTTGTTTTTTCCCCATTCAGTTTTCCCTTAATATACAAGCATAACATCTGGCACTCTTCTTTTTAAGGCCTCTGGGGGAAAAAAATGCAGCAAGGATAATATTTAGCACTTGACAAATCATCCATTTGTAATATTTTCATCTAGAGTTGAGTTTGAAGCTGCCTGAAACAGCCACGTCAGGAGCAGCACTGTGTAATGTTACAGAGGAACCACTAGAATTCCTAATATGGTGGAGCATTCTTGAGATGCATGGAATAGCCCATTTGTATGGTATCATCTGAGGTGGGACTGTAGTTATAACATGTCAAGGCGCCAGGATGACAAGATGCACAGAGCACAGCTTTTCTGTTATTTGTCACACTACAGCCCTGTTGGCTGATAACAGCAGTTCTTCCTTCTTTGCTTCATTTTTCAATGGCAAATCCTTGGGCTCTGAAGTGAACAGTCCCTTTCCCCGCTGAAAGTCATATATTCTTAGAGTTGGAGGGGACTGAGATAATGATCTTAATCTAAACCCCTGGCGTTTTGGCAGATGAGAAAAATGAGACACAGAGAGGCAAAGCTACTCGGCCGTAGTCACCCAGCTAATCACTGACCTCTCCAGCCCAGCTCCACTCCGTCTAGTTATTTGCCAGAAGTTAACGAGTCTTTCTTCACTTTCTAAAGCCTTTTGGAATTCATCTAACTCTTTTGAAAGAAGAAAAGACATGTTTTATTAGGAAAACTTATTTTTGTTTTTTTTCCAGATGGGTTTTCGTTCTAGCACAGTGTGAGTCCCCTCTATTCTGAGAGAGCTTTCATTAGAGAGTGTGGCAACTCTCTAATGGCTGGTGCTGCCCAGCTGGATGTCTGTATAACAGTTACAGCGCAACGCCTTGCACTTTGGAACATAGCGTCACCTGTAAATTCAAGAAAGGATAGATGCTAGAAACTGGTCAGCGTATCGCCTGGGTCTTTTTAGGGCGGATAATCCTGGGAACTTTCTTAGAAGCAACCATGTATCAAAATTAAACTTTCAAACGGATCCTTGATTCTTGAAATTCAAAACCTCACACCTCTGTCCTAGGACTGAGCACCTCTGTGACCCTGAGGGCCTGTGGGACTTCACTGCCACTGGAGGGTGGGTGTGGCCCAGTCCAGGGAAAGAATGGGAGTTTTGAAAATGACTGTGAATCAGGAGAACGCATGTGGCACTTATCGGTTACTGTGTCCGCTTGCTGGGGAAAGGATTCGGGAGCCCTTTCTCAGGAACCACAAGGTCTGCTCAGTCCTAGCTTTCTCTCCATACTTTTCTCAACATAAAATCACCTTTGTGGTCTGGTGTGGGGTGGTAGGCGGAGCAAAGCATTGCTCTGGATCGTCACGTTGTCTGCTCAGAGGCTTTAAAAAGCCAAAAAAGCCTTTTTCTCTGCTCTGGCTGGAGCGTTACTTCTGTGAGGCAGTGGACACGGGCAGGGTCCTACTCCTGGAGAAAGGAAGGATCCCAGGGGATAAGACGAGGAGCGAGACACATCAATTACCTGCTCGAAACTGACTCACTACATTTGTAAGAGCTCAGTTAAAGAAAAACAGGGACTGCTGAGTGCGATGTGCTCGATCTGTGCTGTTTCCAAGGGCAGCAAACGAGTACCACTCTCCGAGCTAAGCCACGGTATGATGCGAAACTGCATCCTGATCGATTTGCCTAAACTTTCTGGCATAAATAGAATTTTTTTTCTTGCTGTGGCAAAGTTTGATAGTGTACCCAAATGGTCATAGAATATTGGAGCTCTGTGGATACTCAGGGATGATCTGTGCTGGATAATCTGTCCTTTCAGACCCGTTCTCCACCCATCTCCACAGTTCTGGGTCCTGGGACCACATCAATGAGCTTATCTGACTTCTGGCTTCTGTGTGGATTTGGCTAATGGGAGGTACCCACTTCACTATCTTTTGGTGGTTTCCTTAACCTGGTTCATGCTTTGTAAATAATCCCCCGTATAAAAGTTCCCATTTGTGTGTGTAATCACTTTCCTGCTGGGACATTGAACTGATACATCATCTAATCTTATCTGACCATTTTATAGATGTGGAAACTGAGGCACAGAGAGGCCCACTGGACTTCCCAGTGGCTTCCCTTCCCTCCCCCTTTTCCCAGCCAATGTTGAGTATTCACAGACTGAGACCTTGAGGCCTTGGAATGTTGGACTGGGGATGAGGAAACCTCTGGCACGAGAGTCTGCTCTGCTCTAAGGTGATGACACATTTCTAAGGAACTTCTGTTTATTTAAAAACTGTGTCCTTCAAAATTGTATTTTATGTGGTGTATACACACCATGGAATATTAATCAACTTTGAAAGAAGGTAATCCTGGACGAACCTTGGTGACATCATGCTAAGTGAAATAGCCAGTACTGCATGATTTCACTTATATGAGGTCCCTAAAGTAGTCAAACTTGTAGAACCTGAAAATGCTTGACAGGGGCTAGGGGAGGGGGAAATCTTTATTTAATGGGTATAAAGTTTCAGTTATGTAAGATGCATAAGTCCTAGAAATCTGATGTACAGCATTTTGCCAGTAGTTAACAATTGTATTATATAGTTAAAAGATTGTTAAAAACGCAGATGTCATTTTTTTTGTATTTTTTTTCCACAAAAAAGAAGCAAAAAAAATGTATTTAAGTAGGTCAAAAAAGTAGTTAGGAAGAGTTGTCTCCATTGGGAGGACGCTGTGCATGGGGGCATGGCTGGGCCAGTGGAAAGTGAGGAAATGCCTTCTTCTTTCAGGGTGGAAGCACTTGGTGCCGGGGCTTGGCTAGGTTCCCCCACCCTTTTCTCAACCACTGCCTTGTGTACCCATCCCCACTCCAACATGTGAGGAGTCAGTATTTCTAGTCATGTCTCTGACCATGAGTGAGGGGGTGTGTGTGTGTGTGTGTGTGAGAGAGAGAGAGAGAGAGAGAGAGAGAATATGAATTTGCATTCTTTCTTTTATTAATTTTCCTAAGTTCTCTGAAGAGTCTTTCCCGACCTCTCGTATTCATTGATTCTCAGACATGTTTTCTTTCTCTCACATTTTAATACTTTGATACCAGATGGGTCGTACAGCTGAAAGCAGCTCTATTGGCTGTTGGTCAGGTGGTAGTTGCACCTGTACATGTGTGAACTTGGTAGTTCCGTTGCATGACAAGACAACTGAGACCACTATTGTTTCAGCCAGAGATCCATTTGATGGTCATCTGAGGAGGGAATGTGAGTCCTAGGTGCTGACTGAAATCTTCTGCTGATTCCTATTAGTAAGATTTTCTTGCTAGCATTGATGTTTGTGGAAAGGTATTGGAAGCTTAGAAGAAAAATCCCAAATACAGAACTTGAGCACTCTTGGAAGAAACAATGTATCACTAAAGTTCTTGGTGGCACCTAGGACAATAGTGTGTGGAAAAACATAGTCATTGGATCCTGCATCAAAAGTGATTCAACAGAGTGGGTTCTGAATGGGATACCTAAACCAAATGAAATTGGAATACTTAACCAATTTATTTTATATTTTTCATCTTTATGTATCTAATAAAATCCATGCCTAAATAAGGCGAGTAGAGCTCTTTCAATAATTATAAAATAAAAATTCTAAATCTTAGTGTTGTATGACAGTTTAATTTGCAGCCATTTTTTCTTTCTTATTGTTATATAAAACAGCATTGTCTCTTATAATCAGTGAATTTGAAAATCATTGAAATATGGTAGTGAAGTAGGAAGTCTATCAAATGATTAGTGTGAATCAAAAGATGAGTTGGAAAGCTAAGGACTGAGGAATGAGTTTACTAATTCTTTTACTCAATAAATATTTATTAGGCATCTACTGTGAGACCAGTGTTGGCCTAGGCTTGAACCTACAGCAATGAACAAAACAGACATGATCCCTGGGCTCACAAGGAAGATAAGACATATTGAATAAGTAGTTGCATGTATGATGTGACAGCAGAAGACATCAAGGCTTCTTTATTTTTTTTAAAATTTTTCTTTTGGGGGGCGGATTGGGGAAGGGGAACTGTGTTGGGGAATTGGGGAAGGGGACCAGCCAAGTTGTTGTTCTTCAATCTTAGTTGTGGAGGGCGCCAGTCACCATCTAGCTGCCTGTTGGCAGCTTGTGGCTTCTAAGCTCAAGGTGCTGTGTTCAATCTTCGTTGCGGGTGGGCGTAGCCACCATCCCACATGGGAGTTGAATGCGGCAGCCTTGTTGTTAAGAGCGCACGCTCTATCCACTGAGCCATCCGGGTGGCAGCTCAGCTTAAGGTGCTGAGTTCACTCTTAGTTGCAGGTGGGCATAGCCATCATTGAACAGGCAGTCTTGTTGTTAGGAGCATGTGCTCTCACCAGCTGAGCCATCCTGCCACCTGTTGGCAGCTCAGTGGCATCTCAGTTCGGGCACAGCTCACTGGCCCGTGTGGGAATCCAACCGGCGGCCCTGTTGCTCAGAGCTCGAGCTCTTAGGCTAACTCTTAACCAACTGAGCCACTCAGCTGGCCCTGTAAAGGCTTCTTTAGAAGTTTAAATAGGGGAGCTTAAGATGGTCAAGGGGAACAGACAGCCTGACTGAAGAAGTGGCAGTTAAGAGGAAAAAAGAAGGACAAGTAGGAGTCAGTCAGGAGGAGGTGAGTGGGGAAGGGGGAAGGTAGTCCTGGCACAAGGAGAAGTGTGTGTGAAAGCTGGGAAATGGCAGGGAGTGAGGAGCTGAACGCAGTCTGGTGTAGCTGGAGCACTGACAACGGTACAGAGATGAGAGACAAGTCTGGAGAAGTAGGTTGGCATCATATGACAAAGGGCCTTAAAAGTCATGGCAAGGCTTGGCCTTTATCCCAAGAGGAAGTTGTGGAAGGAATTTTGGGAGGGGTGTGGTGTGTCATGCTCACATTTTATTAGAATTATCATTCTGGCCGCCGTGCAAAAATGGAGTGCTGTAGATCAAGGGCAGATGAAGGGAGGATGGCAGTAGTCATTCTCTCCTGATTAGAGGAATGGAAGCTGGGGTGGGCAGAAGATATCAAATGATGCAAGGGAATCTGGGCGCAAGCAGTCGTCCCCATCACTGATTGCATTCCTCTGATATCATATCCTCAGATCCTGAGAACCTAAGACAATAACTTTCTTTGTTTTTGACAGAGTGACTTCTGACTTGAGCCTGCAGTGTGCTTTGAGCGATCCGCCACCAGGTAAATACAGAAAACGTTTTCCTCAGTTATTTATAAACAACGCTTCTCTCCCAAGATGCTCTAAGACCTAATTCTAGCATTTCATTTAATCCTTGCAGTAGCTCTGTGAGTTATGTGTTATTTTATTTCCATTTTATATATGAGGAAATTGAGACACAGAGAGTTTTGGCAACTCGATCAACATGCACAAAGATGTTAATCACAGCATAGATTATAATTGCCAAATAAAACAAAACAAAGAGGACAGAATCTAAATATCCAATGTAGGCAAATTTTATTAAGTCAATTATGGTACATCACTTCATGAAGTTACTTTAAAATAGTCTGTATCAGATTAAGAAATTTCTCTTCTATTTCTAGTTTGCTATAAGTAAATTAGCTTACCTGGATGTGAATTTCATTGAATGCTTTTCTAATCTACTGAGATGATCAAAGGATTTTTATCCTTCATCTGTTCATAGTAATTTACATTAATTTATTTTCTAATGTTAAGTTGCCTTGCATTGCTGAGATAAAACCAACTTGGTCATTATGTATTATCTTTTCTAGACTTAGCTAGACTTAGTTTGCTAAGTTTTAGTCCTGAGATTGGATAAAATTTTCCTTTCTGGTATTTTTCTTGTGAGGAATGGTTTTCAAAATAGTATTGGAATTACTTGCTACTTAAATGTATGGTGGAATATGAGAGAAAAATAGTTTAGGCCTGGTGTTTTCTTCGAGGGAAGGTTTTTTTACCTACTGATTTAATTTCTGATATATTTAGGTTTACTATTTTTTCTTGAGTCAGTTTTGGTAAGTTTTATTTTTGGTTATATATACACATTTTTGTTGGGTATGTATATGGTGGTGGTGGGGGGGCTCTTTGGGTCATGGGGTTGGTATATGTTCAGCTTTAGCAGATACTATCAAATGGTTTTCCAAAATGGTTGTATTAATTTAAAAACTTACGTGCCATCCAGGAGTGTATGAGGGTTCTGATTTCTACATATCCTTCCCAATACAAAGTATTTTTGATTTTTGTTTATTTTTCATTTAAACTGTACTGGTGGGTGTGAAATAGTATATCATATTGCAGTTTTAATTTGTATTTCCCGTAGACTAATAAAGTTGGGCACTTTTTCCTATGTTAATTGACCATTTGATTATTTTGTTTTGTAAAAAGCCTTTTCAAGTCTTTAAAAAAAAAATGAAGTGCTTATTCAAGTCTTTTGGAAAAAAACTTGGGTTGTCATATTCAAGTCTTTCTTATTGAGTTAAAGACATTTTAAATAATATGTATTTTTAATTTGAGGCCTTCATAGGATATACAGAGGATGCCAATATATATATATATATTTTAAGAAAGGAAAAAAATGTATTAAAATTACACTGATGGTAACCACTTTGAGTACCTCTTATAATTGCTGAAATCAGATGTGACTTGTTCATCTTTTGCTATCGGTATATATTGTGTATTACAATTTTAATACGTTTTTTTTCGTTAAAATGTGTATAAGTTTTTTTGGCACCCGCTGTATATTGTAAATACTTTTTAGTCCTGTGGTTTACCTTTTCACTTTATTTTTATGAGTATAAATTTCTTTAAAAGAGTATAAATTACCTATTTTTTCCTTTATGGTTAATACCATTGTATTATATCTTATATAAGAATCTTGGCCTTATTTCAAGATCACAAAGAAGTTTTATGTTTCCTTCTGAAAGCTGTATTACTTTACTTTTATGTTTTGATCTACAATATATCTGAAATTGGTTTTATTGTGTATGATGTGAGTAGAGGGTCAAGATTTTTTTTTTCCATGTAGATACACATTTGACCAATTACCATCCTTTTGCCATGGCGCTATTTGTCTATTTGTTTATTTTGGTTAGGTTTGTTGAGATATAATTAATACACAATAAAATTCACCCTCTTGAAATTTATGGTTTGATAAGTTTCAACAAATGTATGTAGTCATTTAACTACCATCACAGTCAAGATGCAGAACACATCTAACCTGAAAAAGTGCTCCTATGTAGCAAATGTACTCCTACCTCCAACCGTTGACAACCGCTGATCTGATTTCTGTCCTAGGTTTTTTCTCTTTCAGAATATATCAATGAACTCCTATAGTCTGTAGCCTTTTGTTTCAGACTTCTTTCACGTAGCGTAAAGTTTTTGAGATTCATTCATGTTGTTGCCAGTACCACTAGGTTTTTTTTTTTTTTCATTGCTGAGTAGAATTCCATTGTTTGGATATACCACAATTTATTTATCCATTCACCAATTGATGAACATGTGGGTTTTTTACCGTTTGGGTCTATTATGAATAAAGCTACTATAGTCATTCATTAATAAGTGTTCGTATGAATATATGTTTTAATTCTGGGGGGAGTAAATTACTGGGAGTAGGATTAATGAGTCATATGGTTAAGTGTAGCAAGTACATATACTTGTATATTTGACATTTGAAAAATCCCTCTAGTTGTTTTCAAATGACTGTACCATTTTGCATTCCAATCAGCAATATAAAAAATTTTCATTGCTCCAGAGCCTCTTTATCACTTGCTGTTATCAGCCTCTGTAATTTTGAGTTGGTCTATAGTGTTATCTCATTATAGCTTTAATTATCATTTTCCAATGATTAATGATGTCAAATATCTTTTTCATGTGCTTCTTTGGTGAAGTGTCTGTTCAAATCATCCGCCCATTTAAAAAATTAAGTTATCTATTTTTTTATTATTTAACTATATAATAGCATATATTCTGGGTAAAAACCCTTTATCAAATGTGTGCTTTGCAAATGCCTTTTCCCAGTCTGGCTTGTCATTTATACTCTTAAAAGTGTTATTTGAGTGGTTCAGTTGGTTAAGAGCTCACTCAAGAGTTTGAGCTCTGAGCAACAGTGGTTCGATTCCCGGCCTGAGCTGAGCAGCCGCTGAGCTGCCAACAGGTGGCAGGATGGCTCAGCTTAAAAAAAAA